GCCCTCCATGTTTCCCTCAAACTGCAAAAGAAAAAAAGAATGGAAGCCAGGAGATATGGTTCCAAGGTCTGTCCTATCACAATTTGGGTGAGACACTGAGCTGATCCCTGATTCTCTTGAGGCCTCAGTGTATCCAATTTGTCCAAAGCGGGGACTGGACTGTCTGGTGGTTCCTACAGTGTGGTGCCCCCATCACTAATGGAAGCAAAAAGGATTTTACGTGGTGCCCTGATATTTAAAATCTTAACAGTTATGTAAATTTCAAATGTGAATTGAAAAAGAAGTATAATGAACACACCCAAACTTGTAATCTCAGGTATATTACTGCTTAATGGGAGGCTAAAGTGGACATTTCACTAACAAAAAAAAAAATTTTTTTTTTTTTTTTGAGACAGAGTTTTGCGCTTGTCATCCAGGCTGGAGTGCAATGGCACAATCTCGGCTCACTGCAACCTCCGCCTCCCAGCTTCAAGTGATTCTCCTGCCTCAGCCTCCCGAGTAGCTGGGATTAGATGCATGCGCCACCATGCCTGGCTAATTTTGTATTTTAGTACAGACGGGGTTTCTCCATGTTTGTCAGGCTGGTCTCAAATTCCTGACCTCAGGTGATCCACCCACCTCGGCCTCCCAAAGTGCTGGGATTACAGGTGTAATCCTGCCACCGCACCCAGCCTTCACTAACAAAATTTAAAGAAAATATGTATAAGTGGTGCATGGATTCATTCATTTAACCAGTATTTATTGTACAACAACTAAGGTCCAGGCACCGTTCACAGCCATGAAGGGAAACAGATTAAAATTTCTGCTTGCTTTCAAGTAAGGGAACAAGATAATAAATACACGAGTAAGTCAGATGGTCAATGCTGTGGGAAAAAATTAAGCAGGACTTGGAGGTGTATGGACTTTAAGGGGTGAGGAGTGATTTGCAAAGGTAGACATGCTAACCAAAGCCATCCTCACTGAGAAGGCACATCTGAGCAAAGAACGGAAGAAGGTGACAGAGTGAAGCATATGCTTGTCTAGGGCAATAAATAGTGCAGGCAGAGGAATAGCAAGTGCTAAGGTCCTGAGGCAGGCTCATACCTGGGAGGTCTAAGGATGATACATATGATATGGAGGTAGGGCACGAATAAGCAAAGTAGAGGCCAGGCGTGGTGGCTCATGCCCACCCAGCACTTTGGGAAGCCAAGGTGGGCAGATCACTTGAGGTCAGGAGTTCGAGACCAGCCTGACCAACATGGGGAAACCCCGTGTGTACTAAAAATATTAGTCAGGCAGGGTGGCGCATGCATGTAATCCCAGCTACTCGGGAGTCTGAGGCAGGAGAATCACTTCAACCAGGAGGCAGAGGTCTCAGTGAGCCAAGATTGCACCACTGCACTCCAGCCTGGGCGACAGAGCGAGACTCCCACCTCAAAAAAAACAAAACAAAACAAAACAAAACAAAAACAGTTGTTTTCTTTAATGGCCCTTCTCCTTCTGAGCTTCGGGACCTCAGGGATCCCCCTGCATTGTGACCATTTCTATACATGCACACACACACCTGCAACATACACGCATTCTCAGTAGCCTCTTAATGCTGGAGAGCCTCCAGCCGGCAGCAGCACATCCTCCTCTGCACGGATGCCCACACACAGAGGTGCTGCTTGCTTCAAGCCTGTACTACACACAGCAGAGCGTGCCCAGGCATGCATGCACACCCACAGAGGGGGCAGGACATACACACGAATATGTGCACACTGAGCACCTACAGGTACACGGGACTCATGTGGAAGTCTGGCATGGATGGACATGCATCAGGTACACACACCTTGTGGGACATATGCGTCTCCTTCCTGCCAGCCTGCCCTGTCTTCAGGTAACCGGATTAGCAGATGACTCTTGCCTTGAGGGCACATGCTACTGGAGGATGGAAAGTGCACCGATGGTCTGGTTTCAAATGCATTCTCCAGTATCTTGGCACCTCAGTCATAGTCTCGCTTTTCCAGGGGTACATTAAAATCTGCCACGTGATGCTCAAATGCGTGAGGAGATCATGTGGCTGTGGAGAGTGTCCCTTTTGTGTGTGTGTGTGTGTGTGTGTGCATGCGTGCGTGTGTGTGTTTTAATACAGGGTCTCACTTTGTCACTCAGGCTGGCAGGCTGGAATACGGTGGCACGATTACAGCTCATGGCAGCAACCTTTCAGGGTCAAGCTATTCTTCTGCCTCAGCCTCCTAAGTAGCTGGAACTACAGGCATGCACCACCACACTTGGCTAATTTTTAAAAAGTTTTCTGTAGAGACGAGGTTTCACTTTGTTGCCCAGACTGTTCTCAAACTCCTGGGCTCAAGCGATCCTCCCGCCTTGGTCTCCCAAAGTGTTGGGATTATAGCATAAGCCACTGTGCCCAGCCAAATGTCCCCTTTTCTATCCTGATTGCAATTAAACGGGGTAAGCCATGAGAAGTGCCTAGCACAGCACTGTACGCCTTAGCACCACCACCAGCATCCTCACTCGTACCAAAGTCCTCTCCACCTTCATTCCTCTAGGGTACTTGGGGGCAGCTGAAAAGCAGAGAGAAAGGACCAGGCCAGGAGCTGGAGATCTGGGTTTTAGCCTCGACCTGGTCTCCAATTCAATGTGAGGCCTCTGGCAAGTCCCTTCCCCTCTCTGGTCCAGATCAAAAACTTGCAGGTGCTTCAGAATCCCTCAGGGAACGTGGTCAAGATGCAGATTCCTGGGCCCTACCCTAGACCTGTGAGACCACAGAATATGCACCTTTGCAGGCTCCCGTGAGGGGTCTGTGCACAGCCACATTGGGGACCTACTGGGCTTTAGAACCCATGATCTTATAAATAAGTGCATAAGTTAGTTACCACAAGAAAATGTCTGGAACACAGACTTGCACACAGTAAGACTCCATCATGTTAATAAAAAATACATGTAATAAAATATATTTCTATAATTGTCTTTATTTTTAAAAATTTTATTTTAATAGAGGTGAGTTTTCACTATATTTCCCAGACTGTTCTTGAACTCCTGAGCTCAGGCAAGCCTCCTACCTGGGCCTCCTAAAGTGCTGGGATTACAGGCATGAGCCGCCACGCACAGCCTATAATAATTATATATGGTAATACACTCCTAGCAGTTTTCATGCATCAGAGATACAGCCAGAACAAGGACTGTTATACCATTTTACAGACTAGAAAACTGAGGCAGAGAAAGGACAAGGGACCTGCCCAAGATCTCTGCACACATGTCATTGGCTCCCAGCCAGGACCATTGGCACAGCCCCATGAGATGCCCCCCCTCAGGCCTTATCCTCTCATCCCATACGGTTTTGACTCCCAGCCCCCAATGTAACTGTCCTTCCACTCCAGGTTTATGAAAGCTCTGAGCACACATGACTTCTCCGTGACTCTGGAGAACAGGACCTCAACCAGTTAATTTCTTTCCAGCCACAAAATGCCTCTCACCAGCAGCACAGGGAGTACCCAGAGCCCTAACTCTACATGCTGCCATCTGATCTAAAATGGTTGTTTTATTTTAACTAATCTGAGTCCAACCTGATCACTAGCTATGGTGACCTTTAGCAAGCCTTATATGTGCTAAGCCTCAGTTCCCTCTAAAAGAGTCTTAAGTCCTACTCTGCTGTGTCATTTGCTCGGATCAGCTCTCTCACAGGCAAAGGCCTGAAACTTACGCTACTGCACATTAACTCTCTGGCTAAAGTGTGAGCTCCTGGAAGGCAGGAACCCTGTTTCATCCACTCATGCACCACTTCATGTAATATGTGCTCAATAAATACATGCTGAATGCATGATGAAAGGAAATGATATGGCCAAAGCAACTCTTTCCTAGTCCTAACTGACCGTGGTGTTTCATGAGCCATTTCCCAGGTCGAGGGGTAGGGACTCTAAGCAGGGATGATCAGGGCCAGAAGGGATGGTTTCTGGGTCCTGGGAAGCTGCCCTCCCATCTGCACATTGTGGACCGCCTGACATGGCTGTGGCGAAGGCCACACTGGGAGAGCTGTGTTCTGGGAGTCCTGAATGTAATCCTGTTGACTCAGACATAAATAATGCACTAGTATGTTCTCTCCTCACCACCCTGTCACACTAAGAATAGCATCAGCTATTCTTTCAGGGATTCCAAGGGGAAGAGGGCAGGACAGCAAGATAGGGACAAGCAGGGAAAGACGTCACCGGGCTAGGGACCATCAAGCACCCACCTCTCCAAACCCATAAAACAGGATCCTGGAGGGCAGAGCCAAAAGGGCCCTTAGAGGCCAACTGTCAGGAGTTCTCAAGGGGCGAGCAGATGGCACCCGCCCCTCTACCAGCCTGTTTTATGTTTTCCTCCTCCTTTCTGACGCCCATCCTAATAAAGCCTGTGCTTCTAACTTACCCCTCCACACTCCTCCCCCTCCTTGTTCATGGGATGAATAAATATAGAGTGGGTGAGTGCCCTCTTAGGTGTTTATATGTAAAGCTTTCGAGAGGGAAAAAGATGCTATAGATTTTCATGTAATTTTAAGTTTAAAAATAACTGACCTAGAACAGTGCTTCTCATAATTTAAAGTACATGGGAATTACTCAGGAATGTTGTCAAAATGCAGACGATAATTCAGGAAGTCTGGGATGGGGCCTGGGATTCTGCAGTTCTAAAAAGCTTCCAGGTGACACTGATACTGCATGCATGGGCCATACATTGAGGGTAGAAAAATTAGAGTATTTTCCTATAACAGAGTTAAGGAAACTGACACCCAGGGAGGAAAAGGGGTGTGCCCTAGAGCATACGGCAGAGCTGGGCGCAGAACGAAAGCCTCCCGACTGCCATCCCAGGGCTCTGGCTTCGGGGTTGGCGGCGGGGGAGGGGGTTGGTGCCTAGAGTGGAACAAGGGACAGGCAGCTGTTACAGGCAGTGGGAGTAGGTCCAGGGGTGCATTCATTCAGACACAAGCTGACCCTCCTTTGTCCACAGACTCCCACAGGGAATAAAAGGAAGTACGAACTCACCTGAACAGGGGCGCTCGGCTTGAGTGACCACAGCCTCCTGCCCAGGAATGCACTCTCACCAGCTTGCATCTGACGCCTGCTGGGCCTCCATAACCTTCCTTGGAGAAGGGAGGGATGGCCCCAGACTCTACATTCAGCCACCTCATGAAGTGGCTGGGGGGGAATGAATGGGATCTGTTGATAGCACTATCAGGGTGTACAACCAAGGGAAAGAGGAAAGGAAAGGAGGAAAGACCTGCCTCCCAGATCAAGACCAGCATGCTCCTCATCCTATGATCCACCTCAAGCCCCTTCACAGGCTCCAGGCTCTGTACCACCAGCCCCACTGCTGTGACCCCTGCACTGCAGCTCCCAAGGTGATGCTTTACCTCCCAGGCTTCAGCCAGGCTGGGCTTCTTCCCAGTGCTCAGCCAGTCAGCCCAGCACTTCCTCCCCTCTAGGCCTCTGCACTGGCTGCTCCTTTTCCTAGAGCCCTTTCTTCCCTTGCCCCTTCGGCTGCACCTTTCTGACCATACCTCTCATCTTTCAGGTCTGTTCACAGGTCCCAAGGCCCCTCAGAGGTCACATTCTCCTGCCACAACACCCTCTGCCTCTCCCCTAAACTCTCATCAGCTTTGTAATTCCATCAGAATTTGTTTTCATGTCAGTCTGCCTATCCCCACAGGGCAGGGACCTTGGCTATGTCCATGCCCCTGTGCCTCGGCCACAGCTGGGGCTCAGTAAACATTTGCTATAAAAGAACAAATGCCTGAAATACTGCTCACATCACAACTGCAAAGCCTCCTGCCTCCATGCTTCCACGTGACCTCACTCACCCAGACTTGTACAGGACTGGGATTTGCACGATTATCAGGGTACAGGCCTCTGCTCTGCTCTGGCCTGACTGCTATTTTAACAGAGATCAAAACATGGCAATACTTAAGTGGTAGCTCTTTTTTTTTTTTTTTTTTTTTTTAGCATAAGTGGCCTCTGCAGGTCACATCAGCCTCTCTGAGTGTGGTCTTCTGCACTGTCTGTCAGGTCTAAATGAGAGAAAAAATCTGGGAAAAACTTTGATTGACAGCATTACTCTGTCAATGGTTGAGGCCCAGAAAGGGAAAGGGCTCATTCAAGGCCACACAGCCAGTGTGTGGGGATGCCAGCCGCCCCTGGCACAGCTTAAAGTCCACAGCTGAGCTTCAGGCCCACCCAAGCTCAGTGAGAGCACCATCTGCCTGGAGGCTGGGCAGGGATGGAGGAAGGAGAGGAGAGGGTGGATGGGAGCATTCAGCCTCAGGCCCAGAGCCAGGGTGTGGTGGGCGGGGCCCCCAGCAGGAGACCTGAGTGAGGCCTGGCAGCCGGCACGGGGGAGCCAACTGGCTCAGGCTGGGTGGTGGCATGCTTGTTCTCCATGCGTGTGACATTCCATTTTTTAATCAGTACTCTCCCCATCCCCCAACTCCATGTGCCCTCCCAAAGGACCCCATATTGGGAATAATGTCCTGACTGAGGCCAGGGCCACCCTAGGGATCTGTGGGAGGGTCCCCAACATCTCATCTTTTTAGGGAGCCCATAAGAACTAAGTGGCCCAGAAGGCAGAGCAGGAGGCTCAGGGATGAAGTGTGTCCTCTGCCTGTGTGACCTTGGGCTGGTTCCTGCACACTGTAACCTCAGTTTCCCCTACCTGTACAATGGTGGCGGTGTGCCAGATTGGGTGGGAGTTTATTACATCTCAAGCACTTAGAAGCCACTTAAGCTCCAAGGCACTAACAATGCCCACTCATCAGGCCCTGGCAGAGCCTTCCGTGCCCACAGTGACTGCAGGGCACCCTTGATCCTCTCTGACCTACTCCCAGGGGAATGGAGAGGTTGAGCTGGTTCAAGGGCCAGTCTCAGAGCCCTGGACCCTAGACCCAGTGAGGCTCCTCCTTCCAGGACCTAAGCTTCAGGGATGATGAGGATCAAAGATGAATGCTGTCTGTTCTGGGACAGGTGGCTTGCTTTTTCTGAGCCCCTGGCACTCCATCTTATGTGGGAGAGACCATGTTGTGCAGGAGTTAAGCACACAGTTTTTGGGGCCAGACTGCCTGGGTTTGAATCTAGCCACTTATCAGGTGTGTGACCTTGGAGTTTCACTTAACCAATCTCTCTGGGCCTCAGTTTCCCACCTGCAAAATGCTAATAATAACAGTACTTACCTCATGGAGTTGTTGATGTGCAAAGAACTTAAAGCGCCCATGGCACACAGTAAATAACAGTGAATAACCATTTTTAAGAACTGTGGCTTTTATCTCTCAAGCACTCTTAGACTCCAGGAGATTTTATTCTGGAGGATTACATGCAAGGGTTCTCAGGTTAGCCCACTCTCCTGTCCCAGGGGCTCACCCAACCTGCCCCTTCCTTGACCCTTGACACCATGGTGTCAGCCCCTCCTGCTAGCCCCATGTTTTTGGTGACAAGCCAATAAGGAGCTTTGTCACACCCATGATCCCCTCAGATCCTTACTAGCCCATATCTCAGCAGTCAGAAGTGAAGCCTGAGGCCCAGAGGAAGCAAATGATTTGCCCAAGACCACCAGCCAGTCAGGTTCAAGTATCCATTCCTGAAGCTCAGTCCAGGCATTTTCCACTTGTGCTGATTCTCCCAACATCAAAGCCTGTTTCTAGGTCAGTCATGGTGACTCACGCCTGTAAGGCTTAGGCAGGTGGATCACTTGAACCCAGGAGTTTAAGATCAGCCTGGGCGACATAGTGGGACCCTGTCTCTACTAAAAATACAAAAATTAGCCAGGCATGGTGGCACATTCCTGTAGTCTCAACTACTTAGGAGGTGGGAGGATCACTTGAGCCCAGGAGGTCGAGGCTGCAGTGAGCCATAATCCTGCCACCACACCCCAGCCTGGGCAGCAGAGCAAGACTGTCTCAAACAAAGAAACAAAAAAAACCCAACCAACCAAACAAAAAAATCCTGTTCCTGGCCAAACATCAAAAAGTAACTTAAACTGAGATACAACTAGTCTTGAGCAAGAGCCCATCTCCTTAAGAACCTATTTTTATTTTTTTGAGATGGAGTCTCGCTCTGTCTCCCAGGCTGGAGTGTAATGGCGCAATCTCGGCTCACTGCAAACTCCGCCTCCTGGGTTCAGGTGATTCTCCCGCCTCAGCCTCCCGAGGAGCTGAGATTACAGGTGTGTGCCACCAAGCCTGGTTAATTTTGTAATTTTAGTAGAAATAGGTTTTCACCACGTTGGCCAGGCTGGTCTCAAACTTCTGACCTCAGGTGATGCACCTGCCTTGGCCTCCCAAAGTGCTCAGATTATAGGCGTGAGCCACCACACCTGACTGCTATTTTAACAGAGAACAAAACATGGCAATACTTAAGTGGTAGCTATTTTTTTTTTGGCATTTCTTATCATCTCATTTAATTTTCAGAACAGTATACAATAGGGTCTATTATTGTTTCTATTTTATAGATGGGGAAACAAAAGCCCAGACAGGTCACATAATATAGTTAAGATCTCCCAGCTAGCCAGGAAGGGAGCCCAGAGGTCTAATCACAGAATCTGTGGATTAGCCACACAAGAGGCATTCCTGCAAGAATTCAGGAGTAGACTGAATTTTGCCCTACCCGCAGCAACCCTGGGAGGCTGGGCAGGGTAGGGTAGGGCAGGGTCTGCACAGCACTGTACGATCCTGCTTCACCTAATGGAAAAGCTGAAGCTAGGCTGGTGGAATTTCAGGCAGCAGCAGCCAGTTGGTAGACTTCATTCCAGACAGAGGGCTTGTGTAAGCCTCTGGAATGACAGGGCCTGGAGGCTGCTTCCATGTTGACTCCTCCTCTAGCCACACTGGGTAGCAATTGAGCCCCAATGTGCATGGACAGTTTACAAAAGACTCTGACCACACACACACACACACACACAGGCCTAACTCAGCAGACACACACACACACACACACACACACGGGCCTAACTCAGCAGATACACACACACACACACACACACACACGCCTAATTCAGCAGACAGCAGACACACACACACACACACACACACACACACACACAGGGGTCTAATTCAGCAAATACACACACACACACACACACACAGGCACACAGAGACCTAACTCGGTCTTTGCCGGCAGGCCCAGCCGCCCCTCTGACCAGATCTCAGGCAGAGCTCCTTTGGATCTGCAGTCTGAAGTCCCTGGGGATGCAACCAACACCCACCCTCCAGTCCCAGCCCCTAGCCCCTAGTTTAGACCATGACCATCTTCTTCTGGGAAACCTTTCCTGCCAACCAAATCTCCACCCCAACCCCGCTGCCCCGTCCTTCCAGACTCCAGTTCCAGATACGCCCCCTCCAGGATGCCTTGAGCATTGCTTCAAATAAGGTTCAGGTCTGCTCTGAAGTCACCTCTGAGAGGCCTTTCCTAACCACCAACCCCACGGTGGCTCCCTAACTGCTCTCCGTCTTAACAGCATGACTTATTTTTTTATGCCACTTTTACCTATCTGAAATTATCTTGATGATTTATTTGCTTCCTTTTTTCTTTTCTATTTCCCCAATTAAAATGCAAATGCCTTGAGGGCAGAGGCCTGTCTGTCTTATTCACTACTGCAACCTCAGGGTCTAAGCACCCATGCCACCCCATTGCTAGCCGGGGAGGCCCATAGAGAGAAAGGAATTCACCCAAGGTCACACAGCAAGTGAGTGGGTGGCAGAGGCTGGCCTCGAGCTGTAGGCCAGGACACTTGGCCTGTCTCTACTCCGCCCCAGTTGACCCTTCAAGCGAATCTATACTGCTGCTGCCTCTTCTCTACGATGGGGACCAGAGCCTGCAGGGCCTCACCAACAGCATCCCCCTCTACTTCCCCGGGCCCATGGTGCCCTGATCTGGGCAGCCCTGCCTGCTTCCCCTCTGTCCCTCCCTTCCTGGCACCAGCAGCTCTGATGAGCTCATGTCTGGAAGCCTGGGAGCTGCCCTGAAGGAAAAGGTGCCTCCCAGGCCAGGCGGGGGTTCTGGAGGTGTGCTCCGCCTTGTGGCAGGTGGAAGGAGTGTGCTGGCCCCTGCCCTGCCCACCTCCCAGAGCTGTGACATGGGCTCAGGGAGACACATGTCAACCCTGGAAATGGGCTGTGACTAAGGGTGGAGCGGAGATTGAAGAAACCTCCTCCCATGCATCTCCCCTCTCTCCAGGTGCTCCATGGACACTCATGTCCCTACCCACTTATCAAGGAAATGCTCTTTCCCAAGGAGAGAGAGCTCTGTTGCCTTCTACCCACAGAATCACTCTGTGCAAACCTCTTCCCCTCCTTGGCCCTAGTCTCCCCAGTTTAAAATTGGAGACTAGATTACATGCCAATGGAAGGACCTAGGAATGCACCAGGAACCAGGCGCGTGAATGCCACAGGTTTGGTTGGGTTGGGTATTTTCCTGCCTTAAAGGATGGAAAGTAGATAAAGGCAACAGCTGACTAGGGAGGAAAGGAGTTAAAGGCCCTATGTAACCATGTAAATGCTGGTTCCAACCACAGCTTCACTTAGGTGTCAGTTGTGGGGTTGAGGGGAGCTGGCCCATGGCTTGCAAGGCTGCAAGCCAGAGTTGTAAACAACATTCCTGGGGGAAGTTTGAATACCAAGCTAGAGAGATCCTAGTCCACCCCCCTCGTACTGATGGAAAAACTGAGGACCAGAGAAGGGGAGGAACCAGCGCAAGATCTCCTAAGGAAACAGAGGAAGGGGATGCCACACCCTGCAAACAGGGTTTTTCAACCCCCCCAGAGGGGTTTTCAATTCCCCTGAGGGATCTCATCTGACTGCCTGAGGCAATATGGCAAGTAGCTGGGGAGCTCATCATCAGTTTCATTTGTGGCTTCGCCCCCCCAACATGGAATGGGCCAGGCCTGGGGTTGGTGACAAGGCAGGCTGGCACCAGCAAGCCTTCCAACCCCTTGTCCCAGTGTACCCTAGACCCCCATCAGCATCCAGCTTCACTTCCACTTGCCACTGGACAGGTGGTAGGGCACCCTCTGACTAGCCCTACAGCCACCACCACCACTGCTTCCACAATGCAATTTCTCCCCTCAGGGGCCACCCTACCACCCCTCTCACTGGAGGCCGAGAGAGCAAGGGTCTTGCTCCAAGATCACATAACAAGTTGGTTTATTCCAGTGCCACCTGCCATTCAGGACAGGGTGGGGGTAGGGGATGGGGCACATGCTGCCTCTTACTCAGCTCTTGTCCCTTTCACACAACCTGGACCCCCCGGATGGAGTTCCCTGTCCCCTTCTGGAATAGGCCCATAACTTGGGGTGATGGGGGAGGAAAGGAGACCCCCCCCACCGGTCCTCAAAGAGGTCTTGCCAGGGCTCTGGATGGAGTCCCTGATTCCACAGCGCAGCGTTAGAAAGAAGCCAGGCCCTTCACTCACTTCACCTCTGAGGCCTCTCTCTCACCTTGGCAAGGAGGGCAATATCAGGGGTGTTGTCAGGCGGGCAGCGCGGGACAGTTTCCCCTCTCCCTGAAGGCGCTGGGGAAAGGCCTCGATTTCCCCAGGTAGGGCTTGGGCTGGGTGGTCCCCACCGTGTGATTGCTCTGGCATCCTGTGTGCCCCACCCGCACAGCCAGACCCCAGAACCCGGTCCGGCGCCCCGCTGGCCGGGAGGAGTGAGGAGGCCCAGCACTGGCCGTTCCTGCTGCCCCCGCGGCGCCCGTGTTGGTCAACCCTGGGCAGGGCCCAACCCGCCGTTGTCCTGGGTCAAGTCGGTCCGATCTTTCCCAAAACGGGTTTGGGGACACAGACTCCAGACTGTTGCCCACCTGTGAGCCTGGGGCTGCCTCACCCCGAACCGCCTGCGGGGAGGAGCGCGAGGGCTGGAGCCCCCACGCAGCCGGGGACTGCAGCTTCCCGGCGTCAGGGCGTCCTCCCGCTCCTGAGCTGCTCAAAAGCCGTGAGATCCCTCCAGCCCCCCACCTACAGATGGGGAAACTGAGGCCCAGAGTATAGAAGGGACTTGGCCAAGGTCACCCCGCGTGCAAGGACTGGAGCCCAGATGTGCCACCTCCTCCGGGGCGGCGCAGGGAATAGCGCAGGTGGGAAGGGGCGAGGCTCGCGCGGTGCCCGCACCCCTGCCAGGCCAGCGCCCCTCACTCACCTCCAGCCGCTGCGCACGGTCCCCGAGCTCCCGGGCGCCGCCGCCTCGGCACACCTGGCCGCGTCCGTCAGCGCGCCCCGCCCCAAAGTCCCCGCCACCCCCGCCCCGCGCCAGGCCCAGGCTCCGCACCCGACGCCCCCTCCTCGCCGCCGCCTCCGCCTCCGCCTAGCGGGCTGCTCCGGGACCCCGGGCTGGGAGCCGGGAGCGCTGGGCTGGCGGGCGGGAGGGCGGGAGAGCTGCACTCCTGCCGCCTGCTCCCCGGGGCCCTAGCGCCGCCCCTCCCCCCGCCCCGCCCCGCCCAGCCCAGCCCTGGGGGTGCGACTCCCTCCTCCACCCGCTCAGCCTCCAGTCTCCAGGCGCGTCCCCCTCTCTCTTTCCTTTCGCTGTGGCTCACTCTTGGCTGCCTGGTTGTCTGTCTCTCCGTTTCCTTCTCATTTTCTGTCTCTCTAGGTCCGTTGCTCTGTCCTAAAATCCTATCTCCTTCGTATGGGAGGGACACAGTTTCTTTGTGTGTCCTTCTCTTTCCTCTAAGCCACCCACTACCCACTTCGAAATCTGCGTTTGTGATTCTGTCCCCCTAACTGGTACCACC